TTTCTTTCTTCTTTCTTTTTTTCTTTCTTTCTTTCTTTCTTTCTTTCTTTCTTTCTTTCTTTCTTTCTTTCTTTCTTTCTTTCTTTCTTTCTTCTTTCTTTCTTTCCTTCGCGAGGTAATTGGGGTTAAGTGATTTGTGCAGGGTCACATAGCTAATAAGTATCAAGTGTCTGGTCTGAGATCAGATTTGAACTCAGATCCTCCTGACTCCAGGGCTGGTGCTCCATCCACTGCGCCACCTAGCAGCCCACTTGAGCCAGTGTCTTTCCTTTTCAATTGCTACTGCACACAATTGCCAAATTCATTTTCCTGGAGGGTAGATCTCTTTGTCACTCCCTTGTTCAAGAAGCTTTGTGATGTATAAAAAGTTTGAGAGAAATAGTTTCTGGGTAATTAATCATTTTATTAATCATGCTAGCAGATAATTAATAAAAGGGGTTCACTTGCATTCTCAAATGCCAAAGACCCCTCACAGAACTCACTCAAGAGCTTATATGGCCTTGGAAGAATAGGTCTTTCTGAGGGTAGTGATCAACTCGAATTGGTTAACAATTAATGAGAAGAATGAATATTATAATGAGAGGTAGACTTAATGTAATGAGGTACTGGGGGAGATGACTGATGACTCAGTCTTAGACAGAGAGACATCTCTTATCCAGACTACCTTGCCTAGGGCAATCTAGACAAAAGAGGGTCCATCTCTACTCAGACCGGCTAATTAAAACATGTGCCAGATTTCACCTTACATTAAATTCTTTGTAAGGTTTTCTAGTTGGGTGGGGTCTGCTACCCAGGATGGAAAAGCATGTGCCCCAAGATTTGGGTAATCACATCTACCCACAATGTGCTTCAGAAACTGAACAACCTACAGGTTTCTGAAAAAATCCTGGTCCTAATTCAATAATTGATTATTATTAACATGAGAGAAATAATTTCTCTCAGTTTCATGATTCTCTATGTCTTCCAGTATAAAATACAAACTCCTGTTTGACATTTAAAGTGCTTCATGGGACAACTAGGTGGCACAGTAGAGAGAACACCAGCCCTGAAGTCAGAAGGACCTGAGTTCAAATCCAGTCTCTAGACCAGACACTTCACACTTACTAGCTATGTGACCCTGGGCAAGCCACTAAACCCCAAGTACCTTGCCCAAAAAAACCCAAAGTGCTTCACAATCTGGCTTTGACCTCTCTAGGCAGATTTTACCTTACTCCCCTTGAGACTCTCTACAATTTCAGTTAAACAAGGGTACTTAACTGTTCATTGTACAGAAAACTCTGTCCCCTATGTTTAGCATGCTCTCCTTCTTTGCTTTCCTATCTTAGAGAATCATTTCATGTTCTCAATCTCAATCTCAAGAGATATTATCTTCCCCCAAGTTGTTAGTGCTTCTCTGACCTCTGAAATTGCTTTGCTTGTATTTTAAACTCACTTGTGTATATGTTGTTCTTATCCATTCATTCTCCTACCCCACTAGGGAAATATAATAAGCTACTTGAGGGCAGGGAGGGACTGTTTCCATTTTTCTTCCTACTCATAGTACCTAGCATTGCCTGGGACATAGGCAATAATGGACACCTGTTCAACTGAACCCTCACTTTTGGAGATCTCACCCCCAAAGGAGGCATGAGTGATATTTGTAAGCTTTCCATTTGTTTGGCCATATTTCTGACCTATTTCTGAAAGGGCTGCCCTCTAAGATTTACCAAGATCACATAGACCTAGGCTATATACCAAGGGAACATCCCACAAGGAAACTCATGACTAATTAAAAGGCGAAGAGATAACACAGTGGATATCCAGAAGCAGAGTACAAAGATAGCTGGTCTTCTCACAGAGAAGGCGAAAGTCAAGATGGAAATGCAAAGAAAGGCATTAGAGCCCTGAAGGGAACATAAAAGGAAGAAATGAACAATAAGAGGGTGAAATCTCTATCCTTAGACACAGGGCTGCAGTATCCTGTGGAAGACCCAAATCAATACATCAAAATCATTTAAGGGCTTCTAGTAGGTTCTTTAATGAAGGACATAGATGCAATGGAGAGAAGATGGGCTGGAACTCCCCTCATTATCTGGGGCCTTCTCACCCCTAGAATATCCTTCCATCATGTCAGTCCTCTTGATTCGGTTTAGGAGTTCAGGGGTTCTGGGACCCCAATATCACAACACACGGGTCCTGTCTTTAACAATTCAACCCAACCCTTCTTTCAGCCAAAGACAAGGTTTATTAGAACCTCTGTCATATTGCGTAGACTCTTAAGGGGTCTGAACTAATATTAGTAAGCTATCAGTTAGATTATAAGAATCTGACCAGTGGCTAGATTTTAAGAATCCAAGCCTCTTGATAGAACAAAATGGACCTTATATACAGAAAGGCTATGGGAGGGATCTAGGGGGTGGCCAAGTGGTCTATGAGGTAATAGAGCTCCAGGTGCGGCCAAGGGAGAATGGAGCCTAGATAGGATTAAGGGTGGGAAGTGGCCTGGGGCCATGGGGAAGTATGGGATTATAGCCTCAGGAGAAGGCCACAGATGTGGCCATGTGGGAAAGTCCAGGGTTTTTCCTTTTTGGGGTCTAGATCCCATCCTCATCACTCTTTTCCCATTGGTGAATTTCTTGGGAGAGGGAGACTCCATTTTGAGGAAGGTCAGGCCAAGCTGTGCTTCATTCTCCTCCCAGTTTTGCTCCTTCTTATCTGTCATCTGCCATTAAAATATAAACTCCTGGGGGAGGGGCTATCTTTCTTTTTGCTTGCATTTGTAATCCAGTGCCTACAACATAGTAAGGGTTTCATAAATGGTAGTCTGTCTGGAGGGATAATATACAGTGAGGAACTTTTTTTTTTCAAAAATTAAGACATGAATATTTAATGATATTCCAGAGTACATATTATATAACAGAACTCTGACATCTATTGACCCGAGGGGAAAAATACATTAATGGCTTTCTGCAATAACACAGTTTATGAAATGACAAGGTGGAATTAGTCTGCTGAAATGGTTCCCTGACAATGTCAAATCTAGGAAAAGGCCTGTTGAAGGTACCTCTTGTTGCAAACTTAAAAAGAGTAACACAGAATGGGCAGGCATGGATGGATTTTGATCTTTGTAGGGAATATCCAGGGAGGAAGGAAACATTTATTATGAAGTGCCTAGTAGGTGGCAGTCACTGTGGCGTCATTTGCAAATTTGTCTCATTCTATCCTCAACAACCCTATAAATCAGGTGCCATTATTGTCGCCATTTTGAGGATGAGGAAACTGAGGTAGACAGAGGTTAGGTGACCTGCCCATGGTCACTAGCTAGTATCTGAGGCTAGATTTGAACCCCTGACCTCAGGCTATGCACTGTACCACCTAGCTACCTCTAAGTATCTCAATTAGTAACCGTCTGAGTATATTAACTATTCCAGGCATAGCTAGGCCCTAGAGGATACAAAGACAAAACCAAGTCCCTTCCCTCAAGGAACTTAGGTTTTTATTTGGGGATATAACACAGGAAGTCAATACTCAAGACAGGAAAACTGATTGAGGGGCAGGAGGAGGCACTGACATATATATATGTATACACACATACACACACATACACATACATATATATGTATGTGTATATATATATATATATATATATGTATGTATGTATATATTTTGGGTGGGGGGGAGAGGAAAAGAACAGGAAAAAAGCCTTGCAAAAAGTAGCACTTGAACTTTACTTTGAAAGTAGGAATTCCAAGGTGTCTACTCTAGGAATGGAGGACAATCTGTGCAAAAACCAGGATACAGAGGAGGTAGAATTGTCCCAAAAGAACAGCAAGAATACTGGTTTGGTCAAAACTGATCCAGTCATGTGCAATAAATCTAGAAAAGTAGACTACAGCCTGGCTATGAAGGGTTTAAATGGCAGGGAGACAACCTTAGGAGCAGTGCAGGGGAGAATCAAAGACCACCATAACTTACCCTGGACTGCCTGTGGAACATGTGACCTTGAAAGAGGAAACTAGGGCATACTTATTTCCATGCTAAAAAAAACTTTGCTACTCAACACAACCTATTAGATGAGAGGAAACGCTCACCCTTCAAACCACAAGACAGGGCTTGACTACTCCAAAGATCCAATGAATTGGACCCTAGCCACCCTAGATGTTCCCACTCCTCTTTGCTGCTCCATGGCAAACTGGTTGGGAAACAAGGCAGCCAGAAATACCCTCCTTCATTCTTTCTTATTGTACAGGTAAGACAGGGAGTCCTATTTTTCTATTTCTATACCTAGTGCCTAGCACAGTACTTTGGACAAAGTGCTTAATACTTTTATTATTTTCATCACTTGTATTGTCTGTTTCTCTTAAAGAAAAGGGCATTTTTTTAATGGTGTCTGAACAGGGCCCAAGCAAGTTGACTCAAGAAGACAACTTAATTATTGAACCAGCAGAGCTGGTATAAAACTTCAAAATAATTAGAAAGAGGGAGGGGTCAGGAGAGAAACAGGGCTGGTTTATTTGTGAACTCACTGATTTACTTTTTAAGACATTACTGGCAAGCTACTAACCGGAGTTGCTATTATGCAAGACTCTCCCCTTCAAGCCCTTAATTAGCTGCTCTTAAGAGGTTGTTTTCCTTTGTAGGAATCCTCAGGCATTTGACCATCTTTTTTGGTAACCCCTTGGATACAAAAGCTTTCTACTTTGGGCCATTCTCCCAGGTTTGAGTTTTTAACTTGGGAACTGGGGTTTTCTAAACCAAAACCACTGCTGTGCATGAATCAAGTGAAATCAAACGAACAGAATTCACCTTAAAATGCCCAAGAAAAGGGACCATGTGTTTCTTCACATGTCTTCACATGTTCCATATTATAAATCACCCAAACCACAAAACCAGTTTTATATATAAGGTTTTATTTAACATTTCCATGTCGTTTCAGTCACTCATTATACCAGAAAGGGAATTCTGTTTAAAATAACAATGATCAAGTCAACAGGGAGAAGCCGAGTAATTACGTTCACTTATCAAGTAGCAAATCCTATTAGATCATTTTAATTTGCATGATTAAGCCACCCAAACCCCTTAGGGAATGTATACTGACTCAGGGAACCCAACAACAGGGAGTAATTATTCTTCAGCCAGCAATGGAAAGTTCCTCCCTGTGCTGGTAGCGCCACCTTATACCCATTTTGAATCCTTCTCCCCCGCCAGGAGTTTCATGGGGACAGGTTTCTGGGCTTTTCATCTCTGTTCTTCCACTGGGGCCAAGGCCTTTTGTACTTCTGACCTCTTTGTAAGCTGCAGAAGAAAGTGAAGAGAGACAAACTTGACTTAGGCCAATTTAGTAAAACATTACACTTCAAATTCAATCCAAGCATTTGATTCAGTGGCTTCTCTGTGTCAGATGTTATGCTCGGCACTGAAGAGACAGACAAATAAAATAAAATCCATAATATAACAAAGGAAAACAATTCTATTTAGATACCATTATCACAATGTTAAAGAAGGGCCACAAACCTAAGGCAAACCCTTGTTGGGACTAAATGGATTGCTTTCCTTCTTAGTTACCTTTTGAGGGCACATGACTTTGTTTTCAATTTTGTTTATCTTATCTTTGACTTTAGGGCTCCAAAATGCAATAACGTAAAATACCTACCTTAGTAACCCCCCAGGAGGACTACCACAAATCACCTGAAAGAAGAGAGTGACTGGATCATAAGGATCACAGATTTACAGCTGGAAGGGCCCTTAGAGGTCATCCAGTCCAAACCACTCACTTTATAATGTCAGGGGACAGGGACACAGAACACCAAAGAGTGGGGAAAATAAATATACATGTGTGCACCTAGACTAGGACTAACTTCATAAAGGAAGTTAATCCACTCTCAGTGGTGCAAAGCACTATCTAAAGGCAGTCAGCCTTGGCACTAGAACAGTGCCATGTGACAAGACCTCGGTGACGACAGTGCATTTCTCTCCCAGAAATGTAACACCGTCACAGGCATGGTGTTGGCCTGGACAGCTGACAGTTACTGGGCAAAGCCTATGGAGCTTTAGTTGAGACTCTTGGGTACCACTCTTACCTGTGTCCTTCCTGTGTCAGATTTCTTTCAGAAGGCTAGCCTTCCAAATGGAAGGTTTAATGATATTTTTACCTAGCATAATTACCCCAACACCCATTCCTATACACACGGGCATTTACCTGAAATCCCTCATCATACTTCTTAAGGGGGCCACCAGCTGGCTTGATCACCCTAAGAATGAACACAGGAAAGGAAATCATTAATTTAACCTCAGGTCTTCCTCACTCTATCCCTTTAAACACTATACCCACCGACCTGCTTCTACTTGAGGATACTGAGACTGAATGAGTCCTCTGGATGGATTCAATCATCACTAAGGTTTCTTTCTAGTTCCAATTCTTACAATACTACTGCTGACTCATGGGGAACAGGTGTGGCTTGAAGCACTCTCTAAAACTGATGCTCTTGCAGATCTAAATCTTGTTACTGGGCAATGAAGGCAATGTGATGGCAGACTGGTGAGGTTATTCAAATTAGCATGGTATGAACCAGGTCCAGTGTACCATCTAGCCTTGGGCCACTGCTCTCCCAGCAGTGTAACACTAACCCAGATACAGACCAACTGGGAAGCTGCCTTACTGCTGGAACAGATGTGGGCAAAAGAGGGTCGCACACTAGTTGTGATTCTTGAATCACAGTAGGCAGAAAGACACCCATGGGGTTGTGTGCTGCCTGGTGCACTTGCCCAAAGGACCAAGGACCACCATCAAGTGTTTCTTCTATAACGAAGAACATTGCAGCTGCTGGCTCCCATAAGTATGAGGATCAGGGCATAACAGAGATCCCAGCCTCCGGTCCCAGGTTATGCACTGATCCTCACAGGCCTTCAGTTTGTGTCCCCAATCTAGATGGAGAGACTAACTCCTCCTCTCCTTAACTTCGGCTTCATGTACAGTCGGGTTCATTTGCACAGAAAAGGGAGGAGGGAGCCTAGGGACAGACAGCTGAGGATCTGATTTAATTATCACGAACCTCAGAACCTGAAAGTTAAAATCTGTATTTATTAAGCACCCGTTTTTAGAAGCGTTGGTTTCAATGGATATCGAAGACAGTTCAAAGAAGGCAAAATTCTTGCCCTGAAGGTTCTTTGATCTTTTGGGGGGGGGAATGACAGAGGATTATCAATACACCCCCAAAATTCATTATGTGGAAAATGAGAACGAGGGGGGATGGAAAGGCTCTAGCAGCTGATGAGGACTTACCACGTGGCTCTAATGTAAAGGCTCCTAAGATTTGGGGGTGGGGAGGACCCTAGAATCGGGGTTTGTTTCCACCCGTTCTCTTCAGCGCTTAATAAGAAACATAGCTCTGCTTTATGTAAAAAACGGCGGGGGGTGGTGTGGGGGAGAATGTGAGGGAAAAGGGAGCAAGCCCGGAGACTGTGGAGCCCCCGATCCCCTCGGTCTGCAGAGCCCGGGCCATGCAAGAAGGAGCCCCTACTTTCCCCGCTGCACCCTCCTCCTCTGCCTCTCAGTCCTTCCTCCCTTTAACCTTAGGCAGGCTTCTGGCTCCCCGTAAAGGAGCCATCACTTACCCCCACGTGTAGCGGAGCTCGAAAAGACATGACCTCACCGTCCGAGGCCACTGGAAAGAAAGACCGCAGTGAGGGCTGGGGAGCTCCGCCCCGGGTTCTACCGCAAAGGGCGGAGCCAACAGAGGGAGGACCCTGCGTAGGGTTCTGCAGAGGGGCGGGGCCGAGGAGTCCTGCTCTGCAGAGGGGCGGGGCCGAGCCGGCCTCTGCAGAGGGGTGGGGCCTAAGGCTCAACCCAGGAAAGCTTGCTCGTCCCCAGGGTAGAGAAGAGAGTAAAAATGCTGGGGGCGAGTCTTGGCCCTGGTGGAGGTGGGCATACATGCATGCGGGCGTGAATGCGTGTGCCTTGGTCGTGATAGAGGGAAGGCAGCAAAAACCTGGATCAGGTTCCCCACACCCCAGACTAGAAAAGAACATTGAAAAAAAGCCAAAGACTTGTGTATGTTAAAGGAAATCTCAAATTACACAGAGCCTTTCAGCTTTACTTTCTTACTGCAAGAAAAAGACGAGATCTAGTGTGCTAGAAGTCATTTAGTGACAGCCCTGACTAGTGAGCAGAGATCGGCCCCAAAGCCAGGGATATCTAGGCTCAGGTTTCACTTCTGATATATACCAGCTGCATGATGTTGGGCAAGTCACTTAAACTCTAGGGTTGTGGACAACTTTCTAAAACTATAAAGCTACAGAGAAGGTGTAGACCTGCAGTGGACAGAGGGCGTTTCCGCTTGTTATAAGAGTTCCCCTGTGAAAGCTGTGAAAGCACAGATCCAGTCTTACTATTTGCTCCTCCCTCCCCCCTCCACTGGTACGTCACCCTATCCAGTCAAAGGACACACCTTATCTCTGTCCTTGAGTCCATCCTTAGCCCTCGCCTAGGCATTTTCATCTCCTTCTTCTCCCTTTCCCTCTTTCCCCTCCTTTCTTCTTCCAGGCTAAGTGTCATTGTCTCTCAGCGGTGGATTAATGTGGACTTCTGAGATTTCTTTGGGAGAGTCCCTCCTCATCACTCTATTTTCTTTCTCTGAACTCAATTATCTTGTTCCTTTGTCCTTGTATCTGGTCTAGTTACCTTGAGGGACCATCCTGCACCAACTCAAAGTGAGCCTCTTTTCTTTCCTAGTCATAATGACATTTGTATAAGCTGCTTTTCTCACAAGAGGCAAGTTGTGCAAATAGAGACCTGGAAGGAAAGAACCTTAGGCAGTCAGGGCTTCTTGACCACGGGGTCTGTGGATGGATTTCAGAGTGCCCATGAAGTTGGATGGGAAAAAAATACATTTTTATTGTTATTTTTCTAAATCGTCATCTTTCTTGACCTCACTGTAACCTTTGACACTGCCTATCACCCTCTTCTCCTTGATACTCTATAAACTCCAGTGGTTTCCTATTACATCCAGGAGCAAATAGGAAATTCTGTTTGACATTCAAACCGCTTCATAACCTAGCCCCATCCTACCTTTCCAGTCTTCTTCACCTTACTCCTCAACCACATACTCTTCAATCTAGTGACATTGGCTTCCTAGCTATTCCACAAACACCAGACACTCCATCTCTTGGCTCTAATAATTTTCTCTGGATGTCCCCCATATCTGAAACACTCTCCCTCTTCCCCTCAAACTACTGATCTTGCTGGCTTCCTTTAAGTTCAAACTAACAACAAGCCTTCCCCTAATACCTCTTAATTCCAGTGCTTTCCCTCTTTTAATTATTTCCTAGTCATCCTTCATTAGCTTGCTTTGTATTTGTATTTGTTTGCACCGTGTCTCCTCCACTACATTGTAAATCTTGAGGGCAGGGTCTGTCTTTTGCCTCTTTCTGAATCCCCACCAATTAGCACAGTACCTAGCACAGAATAGCCACTTAATAAATGTTTATTGATTGATTGATTCTCTCTCCAGGTTTTCATAACACTACTATCCTTTGGTCCTCTTACCTGAGAGATATAATGAAAATGTTTGTTCCCATAAATTTGGAGCAAACATCTAGAGAAGTAACTAAGTGAAATGGGATACAACAGGTCTTCTCTTGTTTTGTTAGTAAGTAGTACAAAGATGAAGCTTTGCTTAGAGTACGCATGCTTAATAGGCTCATAAATATTAATTTCTCCACCTCCAAGAGGGGCTAAGATGACATTTTCTGAACATGGGATGTATGAAGAAGGAGGGATGACGTGTCAAGGAGTAATGTGTAATAGGCACACTGGAAAGTTGTACACTTTGGAGTACTCAGCCAATGATGAAACAGAGGAGGGACTTTGTGGCCAGGATTAGTGATAAATTGTCCTGGTCCACAGGACACCCGCAGTTGCAACTGTGTAATAAACTGGGCTTCTAACTTCTTCCCTCCTGAGTCCGAATGAGTTATTTCTCACATACCTAAGCCCTTCTCAGTCTCCTTTGCTGTATTTTGATCTGTCACCATAAGTATTGTATAGAACTCTCTTCTCTCCTCCCTCTATATTACTTTACTTGGTGATCTCATCAGCTCCCATGGATTCAATTATCGTCTCTATGCTGATGATTTTCAGTTCTACTTATCCAGCCCTAACCTCTCTCTTAACTTCTAGGCTAGGGGTGGGAGAGGTGGGACCTCAAGGGCACAGATAGCCCACCCGTGTTCTAGGCTTTTATCTGCAATTGCCCATTGAATGTCTCAAATTGTGTGACTGGTATACATCTTAAAATCAACATGTCCAAAACTAAACTCATTCTTTCTCCCTTTACCCCCAAACCCTCACCTCTCCCTAAATTTCCTGTTATTGCTGAGGGCACCACCATCCTCCCACTCTCTCAGGCTTACAATCTAGGAGTTATCCTCACCTCCTCACTCTCTGACCTCCCATAACTAATCTGTTGCCAGGCCTATCATTTTGCCTCATAACATCTCACATATGCCCTCTTCTCTCCTCTGACACTATCACCATCCCTTTGGTACAGGCTCTCATTATATCACTCCCACTTCACTGCAATAGCCTGCTTGCTTGTACCCCTGCCCCAAGTCTCTCCCCTCTCTAGTTCATCCTCCATTCAGAGCCAAAGTGATTTTCCCAAAGTGCAGGTCTGACCATGTCAAACCTCCCTCCCCAATAAATTCCAGTGGTTCTTTATCACCCACAGTATCAAATAAAAATCCTCTGGAATTCAAAGCCTGTGTTCCTCCACCTCCATACCTTTCCAATATTCTTATACCTTGGCTCCCCTACTCCCTCCACATACTCTGGAGCCAGTGATGTGACACTCTCTGCTGTTCCTCGAACAAGACAATCTATGTCCTGACTCCATGCATTTTTTCTGGCTCTCCTTCATACATGCTGCCTAGCTTCCCTTCTGAGTTTCCTTCAAATTTCAGTTAAAATCCTACCTTGTACAAGAAGCCTTTCCTGACCTTCCTTAATGCTAATGTTTTTCTCTGTTGATTATTTTCAATGTATCCTGTCTCTATCCAGTATATACCTTATTTATATGTGGTTGTTCACATGATGTCTCCCCCATTAGACTGTGAGCTTCTTGGGAATAGGGACTGTCTTTTGCGTTCCTTTATAACCAATGATCAGCATAGTGCCTTGCACATAGTAGATACCTAATAAATGTTTACAGACTGACTAATTCTAACTGAAATTTAGCATTCTCTCCACTTGTTTAAAAACATTATTCTGAGAAGAGTTCCATAGTCCTACCAGACTGTCAGAGGAGTCCATCACACACACACACACACACACACACACACACACACACACACACACACTCACACAATTAAGAACCCATGTTTAAGTTCAACCCTCTCATTTTACAGACCAGGAAATAGGTTCAGAGAAATTAAGAGATTTGTCCAAGGTCGACACAGATAATAATTAGATTTGCAAAGTTCTTCACATACATTTTCTCATTTCGTCTTTACAACAACCCTGTGAAGTAGATGCTATGATTATCCCTATTTTACAGTTGAGGAAACCGAGGCTTAAAAAAAATTAACTTTCAAGTCACAATGACAGTTGTGGCACTAATTCAATTCAGCCAGTCAAACATTTATTAAATGATTACTGTATGCTAGCCACTACGCTAAGTACAAAGAAAGGCAAAAAAACCCCAACAGTCTACATCCTCAGGGAGTTCACAATCTAAGGAGGAAACAGCCTAAATAATTAGGTACATACAAGATACGGGCAAAGTAACTGGAATGCTGTCTTAGAGAAGTCTCCAGAATCTGGGAGGTAGGGAAGGGGAGGGAAAACAAGGAAGGTTCCTGCAGCTGGTGGCTTTTACACTGAACCTTGAAAGGAAATCAGGGTTACCACATGGAAGAGGTGAGACTAAAGAGGTGAGAGCATTTCAGGCAGGCAAAGACAGCTAGGACAAAGATTCAGAGATGAGGGATGGAGCTATGCTGTGCTGGAGCTGGCTTGGATTGGCTTGTGGGAGCTGATTGTTAAACTTACATTTACACCTCAGAAATCAGCAAACGCTACAAATCAGCACTTGGCTATTGTTTTGTTAATTGTCTAGACTTAAGAAAATGATTGAGAAAATAACGTAGATTAAATGTAAAAGTATGTCGTGTGAACGTTTTTTTCCAGATCTGGTTGTTCAACATTTACCAGGATATATCCCTGATGTACAGTATCTTGGGCCAGGAATTATCTCAATTTGTAATCAGCTCCTTTGGGTTCCGTTTTAATCTCTCAATTTTCAGATCTATGCATCCACCACAGTCTCTCTCCTGAACTCCAGTCCTGTATCATCACCACCTGCCTTTTGGACATCTCAAATTATATATCCTATAAGTGTCCTGAACGCAACATATCTTACAAAGAACCAGTTATCTTTTCATCATACCCTCCCCTCTTTTTATTTTTTTTAAGGTTTTCAAGTAATAAGTGTGCTTTTATTCACCTGTCCCTCCCAGTATCCCCAGTTAAGCAAATTTTTAAAAACAAACAGAAAACAAATCGCTCTCTATAAAGTTCAGTAAAACAAATTCCCACATTAGCTATATCTGAACATTAATTATGGCTTTCTACCTTTTAAGTTCCTCACCTCTCTGGCAGGAGGTGAATGGCCTTGTTTCATCTTCATTCTTTTGGTATTGATGGTTTATCATCAGGTTAATCAGA